AATAAAATAAAATAAAATAAAATAAAATAAAATAAAATAAAATAAAATAAAATAAAATAAAATAAAATAAAATAAAATAAAATAAAATATTATAACAAATTTTTTTCGGTACAACTACTACAGCGGCAGATTTTTGTCATTAAACGCCCAAAAGTATGCCAATATTTTATATTGTATTCAATAAACTCATTAAGATGCCTACTTATACGTTTTAGCAGTTTGCAATTTTCATACTAATAGCAATTAATTAAATATCATAACTAAATACTTATCTACGAGTATAAAGTTTTTAATAGTGTCGAAAGAATGTTGAATTTCATATATGTAAGTTTAATTGGAACAAAACAATTGCCACTTACCGAGTCCAGTGTTGTATCAATATTGCCATTCGGACGATCGGCTAATGTCGTCTCCTTCAAATTGATCTTGACATGATTGGCAGCCGATGTGGTGGCGCCGCCGCGTTGCGGTTTCGTTGCATCGAGCAGTACCTTGAGCGAGGCGATCGCATGCAGTTGAGTCGCCTTCTCGTCCACCTTGCCTGGAACATCATCTTTGTCATTGTCATTGTGTGCATTTGGTTTTGATTTATAGGTTTTTAATTATTGAGTTATTATTATATTATATTCATTAATTGTTGTGTGCAATTTTTTTTTTTGATTGGATTTGCAATTTAATTATTGTGATAGTCAATACAATTGATTAGTGTTTAAATTAATTTGAAATATTAATGTTATTATTTATTTTCATTTCAATTTGGTTTGGGTTGTAAAAATGATGTCAAAAATTTCAATAATATTGTTTTGTTTTTAGCAAATTTAAATTAATTTTTGCATTGCAATTGCGTGATTGCGTGAGATAGCATTGGCATTGTAATTCATATTTAGCATTTTGCAAGGAATTTAATAATTTCAGATGCATTTGTTTTGTTTTTTGTACGAAAATTTGCGATATGATACGTTTCGGTACGATACGTTTTTGCAATAGTCGTTTGTTTGGTGGTTGTTTGTGTATTTGATTTTTTTTATTTCCAATGTTTTTTATTTTTTTTTTTCGTTTTTTAATTATTCATTCAATATTCAAAATTCATTTTGGATACGGTTTTCGATTGGTTAACGATTTGATTCGATTCGATTGGATTGGATTTGGATTTATTTGAGTAAACGCAAAAATCCAAGTAGAAAATAATTCAAAAAAGAAGAAAAAAAGAAAAAAATTATCGATTAAAATTCGAAAAACGAATTTGAATGCAATTAATTTATTTAATTATTTTTAATTTTTTACAATATTCTCAATTTGATATAAATTTTTGTTTCTCACAATTTCTCATATTATACAATTGTCAATTTAGTCAATTAATATTTATTAATATATAAGTATGCAATTAATATACAATAGTTTCGCTATTTAAACAATTACTCAATCGATTAATCATTAAATTAATTAACAATTAAATACAATTTTGAAACATAAAAAGTTGCAATTCGGTTATAAACTTTTATTGTTTCAAACAATTAATTCATTCAATAATTTTGTGTTTGTTTACTAATCAGTTGGAGAGAGAGAGATAGAGAGAGATGGAGAGATGTAGAGTAATAGCGTTTGAGCGTCAGAGAGTGTATGACAGAGATAGAGAGAGAGAGTATGAAATAGCGAAAATAGTATAGATATATATGTAACTAACACGAACAGCTAATAGTAGAGCAAGATCACTATTTTATATAGTTTTACGCCACTAAATGGCAATAATTAACTTCACTACAGGCGACTAAAAGGATACTATCGAGCAAGAGATAGCGTGTGTGAGCAAGTGGGAGCTATATATAGATATCGGAGCGCTGCCAGAAAGTATTTATTAAACAATAGAGCTAGCATAAAGCTGTATAGCGTAGTTAGAAGGAAAGAAAGACGAAGTTTGTGCTGAAAACGAATTTTCTAAGCTAAAATAAGTAAGTCTGAATTTTTTTTTTTAATTTTTAAATTTTTTGTTTTTGTACAAAATCAGGCAACTAATGAATATTTTGAATAATAACGTATTTACAGCGAGAAGGCGCGCTTGCAGTAAAAGAGGGAGGCAACGCTGGATAGAGATCAATTGGAGCGTATGGTATGCGAAAGCTTGCTATTGCTTGTAACGGGTATGCTATGAAGCAGAGTTGCCAATTATGCTTATGCTTAAATTTAGTTTGTATATTTATATATACAAAAATTTATTATTAGCAATCAATTTTCATTGTTTTTAATTTTTGTAAACTTTTTTTTTGTTTTTAATTCATTTAAATAGTGGTGAGGAAATATGCTACTAAAAATTGCATTGCTTCTAAAATTATTCTTTCGCTACTACTACAAACTACTACTAAGTACTAGTTTAGAAAATAGGTACTAAATGTACTTTTTTCACTACACTTTTTTCGTTTGCTTTGTTTTCATATTTACCACGCCACGGCCAAACTTTAGATTTTCGCTTTTCATTTCATGTTTTTTTTTTGTTTTTTCTTTTTTTTTTTTGTATATATATATGGCATGTTGTATGTATGTAAGCCTAAGCCCGTGTGTGTGTGTGTGTAGATGCGTGCGCGCATGAGAGTGAGTGTGTTGTTTTCCTCAGTGTTGGTTAGTCTACTCGTTCAGCGTGACTTTCACTGATTTTGTGTTTTGCTGCAGGATTGTTGTTGGATGGTGAGTGTTGGAATGTAGAATTTAGGCATTTGTGTGTTGGGGATTTGGAGGAGAATTTTTTGTTTGTTATTGTTTTATGTGTTTTTTTTCGGTTTTTACTTTTAGTTCAATTACAAAGTTGATATTTGTTATATTTGTGAGTGTATGTGTGAAATGAATGTGAAAAGGTTTTTTTTGACATTTTTTTTTTAATATTTTAATTTTGTTTTCCAAATGTTACAGTTAAATATTTGTTTGTTATGAATATATATGTGTAAATTTTGTGGTTTGCGAAAGCTAAGCACTGTCTACAGGGAAATGTAGTTTTTTACTAGTTTTGTACGATTTACTATCACATATTATTTTACAATAAAAAAATTTTAAATTTAATAAAATATTTGTCTGTTTAAGCTGGCGTAAGTCTAGCAATAAATCATGGCATTGTATAACATTGTGTTGCAATAAACATATGTTTGTATTGGTAAGCAGTTTCGTTGGCTCTTGTGTTATTGTGAAGGCCAGAGAGGAGTCGGATTAAGCTTGTGCATAAAAGCTGAACGAACACATTAAAGCAATATGTAATTTATTTATAATTGATAATTAATAAAATTTTTTTCAGGCCTCTTAGTGTCATGGCGCTTGTGGCGTTGTATTAAATACGCTGTGTGTGGGGGAAGGTCAAGTTAAATAAATTAGTTGGTTGAGTCTACGAATATTATATTTTTTAATCAACTAGAAAAATTATTTACAAAAAACTAAATACTCTTAATAAACGTTAAAAGCTTTTAATATTTAAAATAATATTATTTCAAATAAAACATTATAATTTTTCGGTTTTTGATTTTATTTTCAAATTTACTATTGTTATTGATGTGAGTCATGCCTGCCTTGTAATGGGCTGAAGTCAATCTTCTGAGTTTCCAGTTACATTCAGGAAGCAATACTCAATTCCTTCTCTGGCAGCCACGTCCTGCACCCTGGAAACGTGAGCAACCTTTGCGCAAGATTCGGTAGTCAGCCTGTGTAGGGCCTTGAGTCACGGCTAAAGGTGAGGAAGCTCACGAGTAAGTGGGATTCCTCCGACAAATTCGGTTTAAAGGTCCACTGAAGTCTTAGTGCAACGTCCGTTCACCAGAGGTGCGGCAGCGAGAGGGTGTTGATCAAGAAAGCGAAGCAAGCGGATTCCAATATAAATGTATGCAAAATTGAAATGTTCTCGCCAAAGCAGGCAGTGCGGCCCGCCACGTTGTAACCATTTCCAAAGAAAAAAGATGTCCACGCAAAACTAAAAGCTCACTCACTAGGAAGTGCGTAGGTCCTTGTGACATTTACTAGTGTGGTCATATAAAGCGGCGCAAAATTTGAAGTCAATTTCAGGAATGCAAAGAGACTCCGACGCCACATCTTGACATTCGCTCCGGTGAATGAACGTCTTGCTACAGTTCGCATCAAAGAGGCGCGCAGGCCTTGACGCAAGAGAAGGACGGTGTGGTGAAGGAAGGTTTTTTTTGAGCCCCTGCATCCTACTCATCAGTGCTGTCCCCGCATGATGACACAAGTGTTCTTTGGAATTTTAACGCCAGTATCGGCAAAGAAGGTATTTTTGGCACAAGTCTCGAAAAATTCAGCCTCCTTGATGAAACAGTTCCAAATGGATTGAAGCTGATTGACTTCGTCTGGAACCCAAAGGCAATTGCCTAAAGTAGTCAAGCTACTTGGCTGTCTCCAGAATGAAAAACCTTAAACCAGGTCAAACATTTTGTGATAGACGGACGTCATGTCGCCAGTGTTCTTGTCGTGCGAACGCTTCTAGGACTGCGTGTCGCAGTGGATAGAAAACAAACTGCCTACCTCGGAACGTTGCGATCGACACAACAGTCGGGGTTAGATAGATACCGAGAATTGAAGAAGGAAGTTAGATGTAGGTATAGACAAAAAAGAGGGAAACCAAGAAACGTGAATATGAAAAGCTTGAAATGCTGGCCGAAAATTCTACCAAAATATAAGGCAAGATCGGAGAAAATTTTTATGGGACCCAAGGGGGAGTTCTATTACTTGATGTTTGAACTTATTTTAAGAACATGTCACAATCCTGCTGAATGGTAGTAAAAATGGAACACCAGGAGAGGCGATAACGATTCCTCAATCGAAGACGATAGAAAAAATTTTCCATTTTCCGACTTGGAAGAAGTTCAAATAATAATACCCAATTTGAAAAACAGCAAAGCAGCGAGGATCAATGGATTACCAGTTGAGCTTTTCAAATGTGGAGGCGAAGAACTGAGAAGGTGCATCCATCAGCTTTTTTGCCAAATATGTTCGGATGAGCAAAGACCAAACTCTACAAGTGACAACATCCCATGAGTTAGGAGTTTTCGAGTGAAAGGTTTTGCGTTAGATATATGGTGCTCTGTACATTGGAAATGACAAATTCCGCAGCCGATGGATCGATGAGCTGTACGTGAATTTTGACATAGTTCAGTTAATCAATAGACAGTGACTTCGCTGGTTGGGTCTTGTTGCACGGATGGAAAGGAATACTTCAGTTTTGAAAGTTTTCGATGCAGTATCCGCCGGCGGAAGAAGCGGTAGAGGAACACCCCCACTTTTTTTTGCCATTTCTAAGTTTCCTGTAGTTGGCAAGAAATGTGAATGTCTAAGAGTAATGCTGCCATGAGAACTAGTGATGTGCTTTAAGTAGGCGGACAGTAATATAGGTTCGGATATCAGCTCCAGAACAGAGGTTGATCAGAAGTTGAATTTTATTGCGGCTTGAACCATTACATCTTTTTCTAAGTACTTCGTAATGTAGGCATTGCCTGAGCAATTACTAATTATTATTTCACAGACCATAAATAAATTAAATAATTAAAAAATTTCCATACTATTAATAAATTTTTTTTCTAAAAAATTTGAAAGCGAGCAAACAAGTTTTTTTCATATTTGTATTTGTAAAAAAAATTCAATAAATTTGATATTTAGCTACTACGTATATTGTAAAAAAGTTCAAACATACATACAATCTTACGTTAACGAATTCAATCAATAATAAAAAGCAGAGACATTAAATTTAAAATTACATATACTGCACTAAATACTAAATAACAAGTAGAAGGTTATATAAAATATATAAATTACGCTATTTGAAAGCTTTTCGTATAATAGAAAAAAAGGGCTGTCATGGAAACCAAGTCGGTTTTGACCTTTTTGAAATGAAACAAAACCGATGTTCGAATCAGCTGTTTTGCGTGCTTGTATGTGTATCGACAATTTCAAAGCAAATTTGTTTGGCAAAATTTTATAAAATGAATTGATTTAATTGCTTTTTAATAAAGAAAAGTAAATAAATGAGTGAAATATGGCATCTGCAGTTGTGTCTTTTATGCTTCTGGAAGAAAGCTGTAGTGAGAAAGTTAAAATAAAAATTTCGCAAAATGGCAGCAAGCTGCCCAAAACAGCATTAGTACATTTATTTTAATTTTAGGGCTTTTTGCAGTTTCATAGCGTATTATCGACTAAATAAAGAGCTTTTCTGAATGGTACTCGATACCATTGACGGGCACTTGAGACGGTCGAAGGTTCCACCAGTGCTACAGCTAGCAGCTTCAATGCGCTTTTTTGGTGTAGGATCTTACTAAAAAATCAGTTGGGAATGATTCTAGCATAAGTGTAGGTAGAAGCACGGTGTCAACGTTTTTGGATGATGTGCTTACAGTTATAGATAAGTTAATTCGCCCGCATTGGTTCAATGAAAAATGCAAAACGAGGAACTATTTTTATTCAAAGTTTAAAATTGGTTGCATCGACGAGACACACATCAAAATAATCAAGCCGAGCCTTGATGAATATTATTTTTATAATCGAAAGGGATATTTCAGTACGAAGGCCATGATTGTAAGTAGTCATGACTTATGTATAAGTATTAATTTATCTATGTTTACCTACATTTAGATTTGTGATGGTGACATGAAAATTCGAATGGTTGACTCGGTATCGCAGCTCAAGTCATGAATAGAACATTAGTAGCGCCAGAAAATATTTTCTTAGGATATATGCGTCAGGTGAGCGGACATCTAGGTTATTGGGAGATTGCGGATATGGCATAGAACCTTTTTTATTAGCGCCATATAGAGATCCACTCTAGGATTCCAAGGAGTATAAATTTGATTTGACCCATTGGGTGTTTTCGCTGCTTATTAAGTACGTTGCATTATCGGCCATAAAAAGTGGTGAAAATTGAGAACATCTGCTGCGCGCTGCATAACATCTGCAGAGAGTACAAAGGAGAATATAACCTAGACGATCTACCAAGACCATCAAATGGTATTGAAGGGAGCGTTCTGCCATAAATTCAATTAGAATTGTATTTTGTGCTGCATTTTTATATTTTCCCCTCTTACGTATAAGAATATAAGATAATTAATGGTTATTATTATTAAAAACAACTATTTACTCAAATTTCTACTTAATTTGTGAGTGCAAGTGGAAAAAAACGTTTACACGAATCAAATCCAATAGCGGTAAGCCGCTTGGATTGTTTCCACTAACAAAACTGATAATTTTGGTCTCTGACACCTAAAACCGATACTTATTCCGATTCAAACATAAAACCGATAACATCGGATTTCATGACACCAAAGCAATTTTTTTGTCGGTTTCAATTCCAAATTCCGACAGCAATTAGATTCCACGGCAGCCCTGATAGAGAATATTAAAAAAGATTCAAGAATTTTATTTCACGCAGTACTTTTCCCTTATTTAAGCAATAATTTTTACGAGGGTTGCTATTCTAATTTCGGTATTTGGCAACTGAAATCTTTATTGTAAAGTTTGACACTTTTTAGGTTATACCACATACACAGAACGTACGAGCGGCGTTTGTGTTGTCTAACTTAAAATATTCAACTCAGTCAAAAAAGGAATTAAATCTGAAATTATTTTCATGCTTTTTTTACAACTTTCGACGTGGATTAACTCGGCAATACTGCATTTATAAACTTAATTAAATTTTCTGCTACAAAGCTCCATGAAAGACCAGTGTTTATCGATAGTAAAGTGAATTCAATCGAGGAATAGATGAATTTCGTGAAGATCGTCCTAAATGAGTTGTTGTTCCGGTAAATATTAATGCTGTGAGAAAACTGATATTGCAAGGACTTCGCATGATCTAAAATCAAGGTATTGAAGATAGGCATTAGTGGGACCAGCATACAATCAATATTACATGCAATTTTGAACGAAAACAAATTTTGTTCTTGCTGGATCCCAACAAATTTGTATATCGCACAAAAAAAGGTTCGTGTCGATTGGTTGAGAGAAAGGATAAAAAATGCACAATGGTGGTTCGAAACACCGCTAAGTCATTTTGACAGGTGATGGATTGTAGATTAACCTGTATGAGCTCGAAAGTAAACAGGAGTCGACCGTTTTAGTATTCAAAGATGAGCCGAATCAAAAAAAATACGAAACACTTCCACGCAAATGGTGGCCTGATTTCTACTGGAAAAACTGAACATGTCGCAATCGTACTACTAGAATATCGCTTTGCTTGCCAGTTGTATTACAAAATCTGGAAAAGCAACCACCAAAGTCGATGCACCTTCCACCACGAAGCTTACACTCAAAAAGCGCTTTGATGCGTCAACCACAGTATAGTCTGACTTGCCACCGAATGACTTCTTTTTATTGTATTTCCGTATAACGTTTCGCGACACCTGAAGAGA